TGCTGGGATTACAGGCTTGAGCCACCGCGCCCGGCCCTAATTTTTATATTTTTAGTAGAGATGGGTTTCACCATGTTGGCCAGGCTGGTCTCGAACTCCTGACCTTGTGATCAACCCACCTCGGCCTCCCAAAGTATTGGGATTATAGGCGTGAGCTGCGCCTGGCCAACCCAGGGCTAATCTTTCAGAGTCCCACTTTTTTCAAAACTGCATAGGGATCCTTCCTTCAACCTAACATGTCACACCACAGTTCCTATTCACTATACCTATCACAGCTAGATTTAGCAGAGGCACAATGTTGCCTGATTTCAGGGAGCAGCAATAGACTACAAGGTGAATCTGTAAAGCATCAATTCCTGTTATTAGGAGGAAAGTGATTTGATTAAGTATAAAGCCTTCCATCCTATTCTTTAAGTAGCTTTCAACTACGTTACCTAGGTGGCAACTGAATGAAGCAGCTAGAGACAAAATAAGAGACAAAAGAGAATATTATTTATATCAGACCATACAAATGACCCTGATAAGAAGAAGATATAAATTATTATTAATCTCCATTTTTTGAACTGCTGAGGGATATTAATTTTTTTTTTTTTTTTTTTTTTTTTTTTTTTTTTTTTTTTTTTTTTTTTTTTCTGAGATAGAGTCTTGCTCTGTTGCCCAGGCTGGAGTGCAGTGGTGCAATCTTGGTTCACTGCAACATCCACCTCCTAGGTTCAAGCAGCTGTCTTGTCTCAGCCTCCCAAGCAGCTAGGACTACAGGCGCAAACCACCATGCCCAACTAATTTTTATATTTTTTAGTAGACATGGGGTTCTACTGTGTTGGCCAGGCTGACCTTGAACTCCTGACCTCAGGTGATCCACCCACTTCTACCTCCCAGAATGCTGGAATTATAGGCATGAGTCACCGCGCCAGCCAGGGATACTAATTTTTAACCCAAAATATCTCATTTCAAGCACCTAACTGCCACCCCCCAGAAGATACTGTGCCAAAAGTCAAATTGCACTAGACTCCAGCATTGACCCCATCCTGGCTCTTAACACTAAGAGAGAAGCCTACCTAAGAATGAGTGCCTCCTGGAATCCCTAGAATCATGGCGTTTCCTGCTATAGTAATATAGAGTAGCTGGGCACAGTGGCTCACGCTTGAAAACCCAGCACTTTGGGAGACTGAGGTGGGCAGACTGCTTGAGTCCAGAAGTTCAAGACAAGCCTGGGCAATATGGTGAAACCCTGCCTCTACTAAAAATAAAAAAAATTAGCTAGACATGGTGGCATATGCCCACAGTCCCAACTACTTGGGGGGCTGAGGTGGGAAGATCGCTTGAGCGATCACTTGAGTGGGATCGCTTGGGATCCCACTCCCAAGGCCACAGTGAGCCAAGATTGTTCCACTGCACTCTAGCCCAGGTGACAAAGTAAGACCCTATCTCAAGGAAAGGGGAAGGGGAAAGGGAAGGAAAAGGGAAAGGAAAAAGAAAGGGGAGGGCCAGGCGCGGTGGCTCAAGCCTGTAATCCCAGCACTTTGGGAGGCCGAGGCAGGTGGATCACAAGGTCAAGAGATAGAGACCATCCCGGTCAACATGGTGAAACCCCGTCTCTACCAAAAATACAAAA